GGCTCAGGTGCCCTGAGCTTGGGTCTCTAGCACCCACTTAAGAAGCCAGGGGTGCCAGCACATGCCTGTAGTCCTCTTACCAAGGAGGTGGAAACAGTGGACCGCCGGAACTCTCTGCCTCACCAGCTGGTAGAGATAAACCGCTAGGTTCAATGTCTACTGGTAGATCTTGTCTCAAAATATAAGATGTAGAGCTGTTGAGAAAGGCACCTGTACACACATGTGCACAAATATGAACATACATACAAAGTGTGAGAAAGGCCTTTTCCATACAATACATGATTGCGATTCTGATGAGGAAGTCTGCTCACTTGGAAGAGAAGCTGATACGCACCAATAGTTGGTAAAGAGAAACATTGTAAGGATAGAAGAGGAATGTGGTAGCAATAGAGACGCTCCTTCCTAACCCAGTCTAAACTAACACCTAAACCTCTGATTGGGAAGATGACACCTAAGCGCTAAAGGGCCGGTCCTAACTGCCTAAGTTCTGACTCTCCTTTTGTAGCTGTTCACATCTCAATGTGTACCGCCCCCGGTCTGTTACATGCTTTCCTGGGTACCAGACTAATTTAATTAATAAAATGCAGTTACTGAGAAACAGCACCGCGCAGATCAGATTCCAAGTTTCTTTTTGTGTGATTCTGCTGACAAATGGCCAAAGACCCTATGGTGTCTGACCACACAAAATACTTGAAATTTATAAAAAGGCAACACTTTGTTACTGCTCTTCTCTTGGCTGTACTTATTGGATTTTGATGATGCTGGTATCTGCCAGGGCAGGAGTGGTCCCCAGTTAGGCATGGCTAGCACTCATGCTGCTATGGCAACTCCTCTTTCTGGACAGGGAGAGGAAAACGAGATCTCTATGTAGGTCGGCATGGAGAGAAAATGAAGGCTGGGGCGCTGCTCAACAATTCTGGAAGACTTCACCCAGGATGCCTCCTGTGTTGATCTGATGCTCACACAAGGGCCCCAAAGAACTGCCTCCAGCCACAGAATACATTTTCCAGCACATCACAGCTAGCGGCACTGTCAGTGCTGCCTGCGGTCCGTGTCCGAAAGGGAAAGTTCTTAGGGGTTCTGCTCCAACCTATCTCAAGGACTAATTAAATCCTCATTACTACCTTCTAATTATTCAGATACTGTGGGATTACGCTAAGGAAGTCCCTGCTGGCACGCTAGATGAAAAGGGTTAAACCAGCTGTGTTGGTTTTGTGACTCCAGTTCTAGTGCCTTCGGAAAGCCACCAGCAGCAACATGAATATTTAACTAGACACCACGGTGAAAATTAAAAGGGGATTCAATTAAAAGGCTTGCAAAAAATTAATTTTGACCTCTCTACATCTATCAAAATAAATAAGGCTTCTTTCAATATTTTTACCTAATTGCTAATCCAATAAACCAGAAAAGCATTTACTAGTTTTATTAGGTTTACAGTGTTTTAGGGCTTAAAACTGTGACCCCTTTAATGTTAGTACTTATTATACTTATTTATCTACACAGATGACTCTTCCATAGTCCAAGCCGTCCTGAGAAATGGGCCACACATTAAGTTTTTCAAATTGCTCTTTAGGAAGTCTAAGAAGTACACACTAAAAATAAAGAAACAAGGCTCCTGCCAGTCTAAACGCCTCTGGGCAGTTTTCTAACATGCTACCCCTATTGTGTGTGAGGTAACATGGTTCTACAGCAAGAGCTGGTTTTAAACAAGAATAAGGAACAGTTTAACTTTGATATGTCCCCCAAAGCCTCCTGTGTTGAGGTCTTGGATCCTAAGATGGTAGATACAATCACAGTTTGCATAATTGGATCGCGAAGGCTCGGAGTTAGTCAGTAACTTATCCATGGACAGATTCCTAGTTTGATGGTAGTGTTGGGAGTGATGGGAGCTAGGAAGGAGCTGGGCTTGGCTGGAGGAAGCCCGTCTATCTGTGCTCCCCGGGTGTCTCGGGGAGTACCGTTCCAGTGTGCCATCTTCTCTGTGACGCTTCACCTCAGCCCAGTCCATGGAGCCAGGTGATCCTGGACTACAACCTCTGAAAGCCCAAACCAAAACAAACCTTTCCACCTGTCAAATTACTTATATCAGATCTTTGTCACACCAACAAAAGCTGATAAATACATGTTATTGCAGAATATTAAACTCAAGTTTTAACCGTTTTTAAAAAGAATCCTTCAGTTAGTAAACACTTTGGCACTGAAGTGCCAATGGAGTGTTAAGTTGGGAAACAGGTGAAAGTGTAGAGAGAGCCCCGCCCAACGGTGGTTCTCACCTTCCTAATGCCGGGACCCTTTAATACAGTTCCTCACGCTGCGGCCACTGTTCATTGCTACTTCATAACTGTAATTCTGCTACTGTTATTAACCGTAATATAAGTATCTGACGTGCAGGATGTCTGATAGGCGACCACTGTGAAAAGGTCGTTTGACCCTTAAGGGGTCGAGACCTAGAGGCTGAGAATCACTGCCAATCAGCATCAAAGCGTCTCTCTCCTTTCTGGAAGCCATGCTGCCACATTTGTGTGCACGAAAGAGACAGCTGTAGTGAGCCATGGCCATCTGCATCCAAGTACAATGTGCGGAAAGGGCTTCACGACCAACGTCCTTTGACAGAGCCATCAGCAGAGAGGAAGGAGCAGAGACTGCAGAACCCAGAAACTCATCCTTGAGGGTATGTGAGCATCGTAACGGCCTGCAGATACCAAAGTTGTTCAGACCCATGCATGCGAGACCTTGCCATTTGTGAACCTCTTTTAAACCAGGTATGTTGTTTGTTGATATGAGGAACACGCAGGCCAAGCAGAAGGGATAATATCAGGACAAAAAGCTAAATGAGTTCATCCGACATCATGAGCCCGGAGGGACTTGGCTCCAGGACACTGCTGTGTCACAGGGACTTGAGGTAGGGCTCAGAAACTGCCTAGAGCACCTTTGTGTGGGCCTGTGTTCAGGTAAGTGCTTACACAGTCCTTGACGTGAGCGGCAGCACGTGTCTCTAGAACACACACAAGGAGCAGAGTTGGGGCTCAGGGTTCCCCTCATCTCATCACAGCACATGTGAAAGGAAGCCACTCAGCGTGCGTATCTCAGCCCCGAGCCTTGACAACACCTGGGGTCTGAAAGGGAGACATTCTGAAGACAGATACTAGCTATCAAATATGTAAAACAAGTGTTTATTCTATTGTATCAAATGGTGCTAAGAACAAACATTTCTTATAAAATTATAACAAATAAGAAGCTTATTTTCTTTTAACCCCCTTTCTTATTTTTAAAGGAAAATTAACTCCTCTATGTCAGCCCATAATTTAAGAGCTATTTTTGAAAAAGGAAGTTTTAGGGAATATGCTCATAAAAGATCTAGCAACTTATAAAACTAATTAGGAACTTGCTACTTGAAGGAAATGGTTGCCACAACCACGCAAATTGTCAGGTAGCCAGCGTATTGGCCACACCACACTAACGTGAAGAGGGAAGGGAACGACAAACACGATAATGCCTCTGCAGGGGAAATGCCTACAGCCTGCCCTGCGAACAGACCGGATACAGCGTCCCCGCGGATGTCAGGTCTATGCCTGTGTTCCTCTTGTCAAATCGCGCCAGTTTTATGGGCTGGGAAAATGCTGTGAGGGACTGTGAGGGCGTCTCTCTGCTACCTAGTATGCTGTGCTTACTATTTTAGGGCCTCCAAACAAGGGCTATCTACGTCCTGCTCAGTGCTGGCCTGGTCTGAGTGGGTAGGTGCCCAGTGCAGGAAAGATTCCTCTTACTGCCACCTCACTGGCCCAACTTCAGACCCAAGCTGTAAGCTAGGACCAATGAACCATAGCCCCTTTGCATCCCTCACACTGGCAACAGCTGGGCTCTTGTCAACAATGCTGACTAAACTGTGCCCCCCTAACCTCCTGATGAGAAATCTGGGGCAGGCCCAGCAATGGGATTCATGAGTACACATGGCTCACATACACTTTAAAATTTCAAAGCCATCTCTACCATTCTCCCAGAAGCACCCAGGCGCACCATCACTCAGAACCTGTATCTCTACACCTGCCGATGTGGAAAAGATAAAACCCACCTGACCCACAAACAGAGCAGTCCATACGAAACTAGGTTAAAATCACCCCTGGCCCAGTGGTGATGCTCAGCCCTTCTCTACGCCAACCTGGGTTAAAACTGGCTTTCCTTACCCTCCCCCAGGAGCAACAGTACCTTCCCCACCTGGGACAAGAGGACTGAGGGACAAGCCTAAGGGACACCAGGCGTTATGAACACACCATGGAGTGACACGCAGCACCCAGTAACGCCACTGAAGAGATCGCAGACACAAGACAACATCTGTTTTGAAGCATCAGGAAAGCACGCGCTCCTTTTCTGACCAGGGTGCCACCAACCCTCTAGTGAGGGAATCAATGTGAACTCTACAGTCTACCCCAGAGAGCTAACCATGTGATCTTCCAAGTGGACCCCAGTCTGAAGACCTTACGATTTTATACAAGGTCTTGTTATGTGCTTAAAACCTGTGGGAAAACACCACAGGAATGAGTGATCAGTCAAAATTGTTGTTCTACACACACAGACACACAAACTCTCATACACTCACACACGTACAGATGCACACACTTGCAAATACATGAACATGCACACACATATGCACATACACACATGAGCACACACATAAGCACACACTTGTGCATGCACACATGCACATACACACATTGAGCACACACATAAGCACATACTTGTGCATGTACACATACACATACACACAAATGTAGACATTAGTTTCTCAAAATGTGTACAGATGATGTTTCACGATGCATATTCTTTGGCTCTTGAGTCACCCTTGGCCAAATGTCACCCAATCTATCAGAAAGACAGCTTCCTCTTCATGATTTCTGTTACATGAAAACTTGTGTTCGTTTGACAAGAAACACGATCTGTGTGGGTGAGCGACCTCATCCACCTGTCTACAGTGGGACTGCTGGGGATGACCCGAGACTCACCTCTTTCCTGTGGCATTGGTGACTGGCTCAAGGCAGGATGGGAACTGGATTCTGATTGGCTCCCTGGCGGTTGGGGAGGCATCTGGCTGCCTGTAAAACACAAGAGGGAAACAGCTTTATACTGAGGATTGATACAGCGACTACAGAAACCAAGATGCAGTTAACAGCTCACTCTCGTGATCACAAAGGCAGAGAAGAAAGCTTAGAAAGCAAAGGACTTCTTCTTTCCTCTGTAATATGAAGCAGATAAAGATATTTACCAAAAGACCTGCTTAAAAACGCAAAAACTGCTGAATGGCTTTTCAAACTCACGGAGCAATCAACCAGTGGCTGCAATTCGACACAGCCTTCACCACATCCCAGAAACCCAAGACGGCCAGCCAAACTTAGCTCTGGAGTTTGAACTCAGCCCCACAGAATAAGAATGAAAAACGGCTGGCATTCACTCACCGGTATAGCCAATCAATATTGTAACATCAATTTCTAATAAGCAATCAGAGATTCACTAAGACACACAAAGCGGGAGGGATATTAGCACTGAAGAGGGGCACTGCCCCGCCACTGTTGATTTCTGTTGCTAATACAGCAACAGCATTTATTTAATTCCCAGTAATTTAATGTTCATTCAATTATTTCTTCACATATAATGCAAGTTTCTTGAGGTGAGAATCACGTCTTTTCTGTCCTCCCTCCCTTTGCATGAAGAATACACAATAACTCATCACCTCAGAATACAAAATAAAAAGACACTTATTTTATTGGTAAGAGACAGACACCAATCACGTGGAGGCTTGATGTATAATTCTGAACTAAGCATCACGCAGGTCCTTTACCACAATTAACTCCCTTCCTGGCCCGGAGGTTTAGATGCATTTCTAAGGCTAAAGACACGGCAGAATTCAAAAGTATTGAATTTAACATCACCCTCAAGGCCCAAGCACCCACAGCATGGGGGTATTGCTATTTCATGCTCTACCTTATCCCTCTGTTACAATGAATATGAAAGAGACGCCCCCAACACACACACAATGTCCTCGTGTTCCTCTGAGTGGTGGTCACGTGATCAGGACAGCGGACACTAACTATGTGTTGATTCTACAGGTCCTGTTCTCCCATAGCCAAACACACTACTGACAAGAATCGCTGCTGAGTAGAGACAGAAACCTCAAGATCCACCAATTCAAGCCACTGGAGGTTGCAAGACACACATCGATGTATCTCTTGGAGTCTGCGGGGACTGCCACGAGTAACTCTAATAATAATGCCTGCACAGGATAGCAAATGGAAGGAGGATGATTTCCACCGCAGGTAGAAGGAAATACGTTACGAAAGCATGACTGTAAAATAATCCTCAAGTTCTTATGGGGGGCTTAAGCACCCCACTTTTAGAGAACATAAAGCTTGGTACATATTTCTGAGTGTTTGTCACACTCAGGAGATACCTTGAGCCACCCAATAACAAAGACGACTTGACAATAGCCCAGTGTGCACCAACTGGCATTATCTTAGGCATCCATAGTAACCTAATATTAATACCAAATAATTACCTGTACAGTCAAAACATTTAACATTCTGGTCTAAAACAACTCCAAGGGCAAACACTGGTCATTGACGCGGCTATAGATCTACAAAAATTGCTTTGTAGTCACTGCGGATTGCATGCTTCCTATGAAATGAAATGCCCCATGGCCCCAATCTATAGTCCATTTAGAAATTTAAAGCACTCTGCAGCCAAACTCAGACTTTTAAAAGCGTCACTGGGGAATGAGCTGCCGCAAGACAGTAAGCGCTTCCATTATAATGCTCGCTTCTGCATGACAGGCTGGACTCATAGGCTCACACTGAGAAAACAAACAGCAGTTCTATGTCAACACAGGGCAGTATGGCTTCCACTGTGCATGCCTGAGGCACTGCTCTCCCTTACGATGCACCAGGCAAAAATAAAAGGCTACAAGAAACTCACGCCATCATGTATACAGCATCGCCACATAAACCACTGCTGTGGGCTACCTAGTGCAATGGAAGGGTGATGTCCCTTCATAGCAACGAGGAATGCACACATTAAATTTACCCTCTGAACAAAACAACCAGCTGTTTAATGTTGAAGAAAAAAGTTTACGCCAGTTTCCCTGCTTTCACCCTCTTTTCCTTAGCCTCTTCCATGACTATTATGTAACCGTGATGCCTGTGAGCATGCGGGGACAACTGCATAACTACTGTTACAGCAGTAACATACATGTGGAGTGGAGCACAGGAGAACTCGCTGTGTCCACAGGCCACAGAAGGAAATCCAGAGCCTTTGATGAACTGAATTAAGTAAATCCTTCAAATCTGTGGGGCTTTATATATGCTAGTTTTAAGTAAACTCTTTCAGAGTTTGGTAATTATTTCAAAGGAGGACACGGCCATGTAAGGTAAACAAGTCAAACTTAGGAACTCCAACCTCCATAATTCAATCTGAGCCAGATTTCAAAGCCAGAGGCTGCTCCCTTTGCTATGCCCCAGGTTTCACTCTCATCTGTATCTGTAATGACATAAGCACAATGGGAAAACCCAACAGGACACCACCACTGCAAATGAGAACAAATCCCACCATTCCCACCTACGTATTTATTAGCTGACAGCAAACACCTCTGTGGAAAAAGGTGCAGCAATTTAAAGTGAGGCGCCAGTAAGTCACCTTAGCTTCTACTTTTGTTTAGTTGAGCCACCAAGAACAGTCTACTGTCACCTTACACCCAGAACTCATGGATGCATCTTATGCAACTATAACGTAATTATGTAGGCATATATCTACAGACCTTATTTGAATTGGTCAATTTTTCCAGTAAATGTCCTGTTTCTAGGATCATCCAACGTTGCTTTTAGCCATGTCCCCCACTGTCCCCTTAGTGTTCCCCAGTCTTCCATGACCCCTTATATATAATCTCGACCTTTGGGAGTGTCCTAGTGAGTTGTTTTGTATGATGCTTCCCCGTCAGGGTGAGACATTTGCATCACTGAAAACGAGGACATGCTAGAAGTACCACATCCTTCTCGGTGCACCCTATCATGGGGCCGGGACACTGACACGTTCCATTTCTGTTCATGTGGACTGCATGATCTGGCTGGCGTTCACTTCCCTTTTGAGGTTTATCCGAGTCTCATGTCTCCTGAAACTTTCACCTGCTATTTTCAGCGTCTATCAGAAGCTCCTGCCTATGAGGTTTACCACAAGGATCTCTATCTGCTAATGGGGACTCCCTATTTCCCCTTTGACTTCCATGTGTGTTAACCAGATTTCTATATTTCCCAAACTCAAGCTTTAAAGACTTGGTCTCTGACCCATGGCACTTCTGAAAAGTGGTGGACTCTGAGAAAGGCCTCTGGTTACTGGGATAACAGCTGATAAGGGAATCCTAAGATGCATGCCTCCTGTTCTTTCTTTTGCTTCCTGGCCACCAGCAAATGAGCAGCCATGTTCTAGCCTGTGTTCCCATTATGATGTAATACCCAGCTTAGACCCAAAGCAACAGGCACCTTAACACACATCTAACTTTCCAGACGCAGGCCTAGCAGCCCCCTTTTCTCCTGTTGTCTCATGTGGGATCTGTCACAGCTATGGGGAGCTAGTGCACTTCTGTGACCGACAGGAAGTGAGCCATGCTGTGAGCTGGATGAAACGGAGGCAGATTCTCCCGATGTGGGCGCCAGAGTTGGTTCCTGGGCTCTACTACCAGGTCTCCCTTTTCTCACTAAATACGGCCTTCTTTTTAGGACCACCAGAGGCTTCAGGCTCATCTTGGAATCGTCTTGTCTGTCACTTCTAGAAATCCTGGTTCCTGTTTCTGGTGACAAGCTCTAGGACTTAGCTCCAGGTTTCAGGGAGGCTCACAGTTAATGGTATTCTAATGCTGTTAGCTCTCCCAGAGGACAGACATATCCCAACCCATGTATCACATGAACTGATATGCCAATGTTATATGTATAAAGACTAGTTTCTATACACATCTCCAATTCCAGTCCCAAACTAGAGAACATTTGAGCTTCTTACCAATAACCTCACCAATAGAAACAAACTCAAATTGATCTAAATCAACCAATTTTCTTAAATTACAGACATTAAAAATCTAACAGTGTTGCTGTTCCATTTGCTCACCAGGCTGGCAGCACGTGCTCTGGCATGGGGGCTGCTTCTAAAGTCAAAGTTAAAAACGTGCAGAGTCACTCCCTCCCACGCACACCGGCCTGTAAACTCCAGTTCCTGCAGATGTGAAGTCATCTTCTAACCTCTGCGGGTCCTAGGCACACACAGGGCATACTTACATAAATGCAGGCAAGTATCTATCTGAATACAATGTAAATAAATCACTCATAAAAAATCCCACCCTTACTCTAGTGATTTGACAGGCTATCATTTCACTGACAAATTTGTCATATATCTAGTCTAGTTTTGGACCCTCTATCAAAATACCTGTACTGGGGGATAGTTTTATTTTTCTTTCTTTATTTTTTAATAGACTTAATTCATTTTATTTTTCTTGTATAAAAACCCTTATATGATAGCCGCAGCTGGACCTGGATCCTCTGAACAGAGACTCTGATGTGGGTTTTCACAAGATGCTCAGTGAATTCCTAGTAAGGAGACTTGGTGAACACAGAATCTTTCCAGAGGTTAGTAGGTCTTAGAGATGGCATCAAAGGTGGCATTGGCACAGTTGCTCTGGGTGGGAGTGCAGCCCCTGGCTGATATGTAGCAGACATCAGTACCAGCCATCATCAGTAGCTTCTTGAGCACAGGAGCAGAGACTATGCCAGTGCCTCTGGGGGCAGGGATGAGACGCACCAACAGAGCGCACAGCGGCCTGTCACTTTGACCGGAACCATTGAGACTTACCACTCTTGTTCCCCCAGTAGCCTCTCCGCACAGGGATAATGGAATGCTTAGTCTAGATGATGGCCTCTCCCGGGAAAAGTCAATAATCTCGGGTTTCTTAGTGGGCAAGGAGAACAGGTAGATCTCCTCCAGGGATTGATCTTCATGTCCTTAACCTGGCAGCCCAGCTTGGTGACAGGGATTCAATTCTTGTCTTCGGTTTTATCTCCAAGAG